ACCAACAATGGAAAGCAACAATCGTGATACGGCCAAGAGGCAAAGTAGTGGTCGACCAAAATTTGGATTTCACCGCAATGCAACATGAAAGTAATGATCCTGTTGTTCACGCTGATTCATTGCATGTTGAGACACTAACAAATCTAAATGGCCTAGCCGAAGAGCTTGATGATATAGAAGAAGAAGACTTTGGATCAGATGCTGAAGATGGAAATCCAGACATTGAATTAACCGATGAAGAAGAATCTGAATAATTTTTGTTATTTTCTTTCTTGTTGTCTTTTTCTTTGTTTTTTGTTTTCCAAAATAAGCTTCTTTTTTTCTCAATTTGTTGGTTTTATCGACTAAGTCTAATTGAATAAGTCTTTCTAAATTTGCAGGAATACGAAGTTTGTTTAGCTACTAAGCTATATATAGTTTGCCTACTAAGCTATATATAGTATGTCTACTATAGCCAACTCTACTCTATATCGCTCTCTTCTTCTTTCTCCCCAAATGTTTGGATTAAGAGGTACAACAATGTCTCTCCCATCTCCGTTTCTGATTTATTASACAGCAGTTATTTACTTTAGTTTTGGGTTAGAGTTGTTGTGTTCTATGCTGTCAAATTGTATAGGAAACGAAATACATGTATTATATTAGGTTTATCTTTGTCTGTGTTCTGAGTTGTGTTCCTATATTTTTTATTTTTTATTTTTAGCGTTGATGACAAAGAAAGTTAATAACATTGTATATGTCGGATGTGTTTGTATTGACATTGGTTTTTGTGCAATTCATGTTTATAGAAAAAATGAAACAAGAAACGATTGAATTGGAAAATGATCAAAAGGTGGAGGAAGTACAAGTTGTTCAAAAAAATGGGGCAAGAGAAAAAAGTTCAGCATGAACTTGATCTAAACAAAACATTTTATTATGAAAATGAAGGAGAGATTTACCCCGGAGATGGATTTGTTCAAAAAACGGAAAAGGAGAAAAAAGTTCAACATGAATTCGATTTAAACTCAAACAAAAATTATTTTGTAGACGGAGAGCTTCACCCCGATAAAGAAATGCAAAAATTCATTATAAGTATGTATAGACTTTATATGCCTGGTCATTTTTAATGATGAATAAATTGTCTTTTTCTAGTTTGAACTTTGAATAAAAGCCATTGTTGATCAAGTGTTGATCATAGCAATGAGCTCAATTGTCTTGTTTAGGAACAATGGGTTGTCTTGAATAAAATTGTCTTGAACTCTGTTCGAGGGCCGTTCCTCTGCAACTCTGTTCTTGTTTTGTCAATTTACAGCTTAGGGAGAGACACTGCCTCATTCAGAGTATTACCTTTAACAAAACCGAGCCCCAAATCTTAGGGTTTAATTATCATATACAACTTTACTTTTCTAAAGCTCATCACTTTCTCTTCTTCGATTCGATACTCTTCTTCTTCTTCAATCCCTTCTGCAAAAATTTCTCAACTTGTCTTCTTCTTCTTCTTCTCTCTAAATTGAAAACGAAACTTATCACTTTCCTACCTCAAATTTGGACACTTGCTCTCTTCATTACGAGCCTTCTCTGCAGCCATGTCTTCCCGGAGCTCCAAACAGCTCGCTAGACCCTAATCAGCTCCGAGACGTTGTCTTGAGCTCATGTCGATATACAGCGGTAGTAACTTGTAAGATGTTGTCTTATTGCATATTATCGCTTTTATTTGATCTTTTTTATTTGATTTTGCTTTTCATCAAATTTAATCTAAAATATGAAACAAGTTTTTATAAAACAAATCAGGTTAACAATTAGTTTCCTATTTTCTTGGTGAAGAAGGTTAATTAGTTTCTTTGAGGGTTAAAAAATATCAGCAAACCTGAATAATTAAAAAGAAAAAAACGATGAAGTGGGGAAACAATTTCGGCTTAAGCGCCTTAAATTTGTCAAAACTCCCTCTAAAAAAATTGGATCGTGTCAAAATCTAGAAACAAAATTGTCACTAGTTTCACCAGTATATAAACAAATAAATGAGTCTCCTCTCATGTTTTACCATAGAAACCATAACTACTCACGGCTTTGAGAAATAGCAACCCTATCTCTTTCAAGGTTTGAATTCTATCATTGCTTGAATTCCTCTGTAGTTACAATTGGTTGAATTCTGTGTTTAGAATTAGTTGAATTCATGTGTAGTAACTATTGTCCTTTGTTCTGAATCTTAAAACATATAGTTCTCATTGAATTCATCCGTAATTACTATTGTCTTTTTTTGTTCTGAATCTTAAAACATATAATTTTTCGTTGAATTCCTTCTGATTTTTCAGTTAGTCATGAACTTGTATTGCTCGTGTTCCTCTAAAGTAAACATTTAGAACTCTTAACTGTTGTAGATCATCTAGACTTTTGTATTACTTCTGATCAGATTCGTTCAAAGTGAAAACTAGACTTTTGACAGATTAATTTGTCTTATCA